CCATCCTTCTTAATTATTTTTAAGCTTCTTACGCTTCAAGAATCTTGCGCACTGATGATTTTGACTTCTGCGTCAGATTCATAGCAGTCACTTCAAGGAAACCTGTGCTTCTGAGCTCTATGCGTACACAGTACCTCAAATCTCGATTTTTGAACTTCCCAATTAAACGCTCTTTTATGCAGACTCAGAATGATCTGCCCGTCTCGCTCGTGTGCTCATTCCCGCATCTCTGGATGATATTGAATATACTGTGCGTTAGGGAAGGCCATACAACTTTTTTAGTTGCACATTAGATCGTAGAGGGAATTGCGGACTATTTGACGGGGCAGAAGGTGAGGTGAGAGTTCAATAGCTGCCACGGAATTTCAAATATTTTCAGATCTAGATCCACATCTTTCTAAGAACCTCTTAGTAGCCTCACTAACATTGCACGATCTAGAGGACTGTTGAAGAGGAATCTTATTTACCTGCGAAATATTATTTCGGTGCATATTACTACCTGTTGAGCTAGCTGAAGTGGCTGATATTCGTCGTTCATTAAACATGCCTATTTTTCGGCCCGAGTCTAGCAACTCCTTTCTCTCCTTTCGTCCTGTGCATACATTATTAACCGGTGTGTACGCGGTTTTTGATGAGTGCTATTTATTTATGCGGTAGATAAAAGGAGAGGTAGTGGACTACCACATTTTGTTACTTGGATTCCGGTATCATTAATTCTTGCACCACTCTCTAGGAGCTTCATTTGGATCATCAAATGGAAGCCAGTCTTTACATCCAACACTCGCCTAAGCAGCTATGGTATCTAAAACTAAGAAGAAAAAAGAAACTAAGGTCCACTGCTCCTTCCATCTCCTTCACTGAACGAGTCACTTATCCAAGGCGTACCGAACGGCTAAATTTTTGTGCACAGGAGGAGAGAGGCGAGCTACGCTTAACGTGCTACAAAAAGTAGCCATTGTCAATAGCGTACTACAGAACAATATTTTGCACCTAAACCTAATACAACATTTGTCTAGGTTTTGATGAAGACGCTTTGGCAGCCGACAGCGACGCCCTATGGAGCGCCACACTGAGCTATTCTCGGGATTGCAGTGAAACTCGCTCAACCAGTATTTTGCGAAATAGTTCAAAGCTTAAGAAGAAGACGAAAAACATATTAACTGCCAGAACTATTGGGATCCGCACATTGAAAGAAACACTGTGAAAGACGGATCAAATGAATATAAAAGTGCTGAAAAAGACAATGTCGCCAAATCGTCGGCCATCGAACTGTAACTATTACCACATTTACAATATATTGATTACCAATGCCGAAGTGTACAGAAAGTTTGCCTTCTGCATTGCGGCAAGTACATTCAGTGTATTTGTTCCTATGATAACCTCTCAAAAAAAAAAGATTTTAAGGATACACATTGTTTAGGAAGAGAGCAGCAGGTCGGCTGCAAACTCATAGCTAATTCTCAACTCGAGAATACTTCTGAGAAGAGGCAAGATTGCATATGAATGCGATTTTCTTTAGGATGTACCACAGCAGCATAACAGTAACCAAAGTTGTTATTTCAGAACTCTAGATCAATTTGTGAAAAACTGGAAATGAACTTTGTCTCAAAAAATTCTTGTTCATTTTCTCCACTACGTGAAAATAAACATTGCAGTCAATGTTATTTCTCAGATCAGTAATTTCGTTTTGCTTTTGACAAAAAATAGCTAGGCCCTCCACACCCCTCCTGCTCCAAGAGCTGCTCAGTTGGTAACAAGTAACTGATGTATAAAAGTCCGCTGTCCAGAGGAAGAGGAAAGGTGATGGAGGACGACTAAAGATAGGCATGTTCAAATTGACATAATACGCAATTTAAACTGTCTCGTAAGGTGACGGCTACAAAAACTCTAAGTGAACGAGGTTTTCTTCCAATTCTACCAGCCTGTGTGCTTAAAGTCACGGACATTTTGGAAAAGTGGTCACACTCTTTATGTGTACGAATTCAATAAAGTGATCAAATGATGTGCTTGGAAGCCGAACTACTCTTTACCACTGCATTTTAAAATCTATTGACATCTTCGTGGCCCGTATGAGTAGCTAATCAAAAAAGGCGACTTGACATTTAAAGACTTTCTCCTTTAATCTTCACTTTCAACCAATTTTGCAATAATAATCCTTTAATGTGATAGCTTGTTTTGAGCCTTTTATGTAATCTGGTATGACATTCATATAGACTGTCAGATTACTATAATATCAGTGCTTTTAGATGCGGGGTTTATACATAAAGTCGAATGTAAAGGTATGATTCATTCTACAAACCATATAGCGCGACTGTGGTCACTGCAATGTCAGGGGATTTTCGCTTGACACACAGTGATTAATAAGTCCGAAGTTGTTTCCTTTATCAGTAGGTGTATAGGGGTACACCTTCCTTTAAGGAATTGGCTTAACTGAAGGGCACCGTACATCTGGAGGGCCAAGAGAGGCGGAACAGTGTGTAGTGCTGTATAGGTCCCATAACCTACTTTATAACTCCTCAAAACATGCTGTCCCTTTTTTTAAGATTGATTGAAGAAGCCTTCTACTTTTGCCAAGAAAGTGAATATGAAAACTTCAAGTTTGAATATGAAGAGCAATGTCCTCTATTTCACGATTGTTGCCATTCTACACAATGACTTCTTTGCGAAAATTATAGCTATGAGATAATTTATAGGATGTCTAAAATAGATAGCCACTTTTGTTTGCCCTGTAAAGCAAAATTTGCTTTACAGCAATGTATAAGTGTGGTCTTACCCTAAACCGCAAGCGTAGCAGCAGCTTAAGATGTCGTCTGCTGAGAGTTCAACCTAAAATCATTGTTTTCTTTTAGAAAATGTTTTAGCTTGGTGTATTTGACGCGTCTTACCGTCTTATTGCCGTGGGAAGCGATACAAACACGGTCTGACATAGCTTCTGCAGAAGCAAAAGCCCAGCAGGAACCTTCAATTTCCAAACATTTCCTTCACGTTCAATTTCAATAAGAAATTTGAGATTTAATAAGCTATTCTCACCGCATTGCGATTGGTCACGAATGTAAGAAATCGAAGGGCAATGAGGCCATTGAACACGAGCGTCGAAGCTATAAACAAAACCGTACATTCCTTTTTTCTATTCCATTCTCAGATGTGATATACAGATGCTCCTGGTGAAGCTGGTGTCACCCGATAGCTTACTGCTTATACAGTGCACGCAACCAATGGGAATCTTTACGCATGTTCAATACTCCGGCTCAAAATACCTCAGATGTAGCTTATAATGAATTGTGAATGTCTCCTCTCAGAAGATTACCTATTTTGTTTGTTCGCACCTTTCGCATTAGCAAATAACCTCTAGTTTGACACACCTATCTGGAATTTTGGAGCCGTCATCTCCAATCTCGTCCACTCGAGGTTTCTTATTTCCACCGATGAATTTTGAACTCATGATTTTCATCCTCAGCTCTTCAATTGCAGCTGCAGATTCGGCCTAAACTCCTTCATTCTCCTGATTTTTTTGACTAACGAAATGGGCGCGAAAAAGTTATTTTGTTCTGCTGTAATATCTGCGCGGAGGTGCTTGGAAAATTCCGTTAGGAGAAAATACTCGAAGGAGTTGTGTGAGAGTGATATTTATCCAAAATAAGTTAGTTGCACCCAAAACAAAAATGTAAGGTCAGCCTTGTCTTTGAAAAAGCGTACTATTATAAATTATTCTACGCAAGTATAAAGTATCACCTTGAAAAGCTGTTGCTGATTATTGACGTAATCCACGAGTGCATCGCCAGTAAGAACTTGTGTCTCAGGAGTAATTACTTCATTTTTCTGGATACCTACAATTCCTCGCCTAAGTTGGTAGATTAGAATACACTATTTAGATACTCGATGAAAAAATGAATGGTCAGTTGTCGGATATTCTAGTGTGCATTTATAATGCTCACCACGAGCACTCCTGCCTGGGGTTGCAGATGTCCATGATGAAAAGAGGATTACAGTGACGATGATTAGTTTCTAAATAGATTATACACTTAAATAATAATTAGTAGTAATAATTAGTAATAATTTTCTTTATCATTGAGCTAATAGTAGTCCGTGAATTATTCTATGTTAGCTTATGAGTAAATATGGGAGTTAGAATCGGACGGTATCGAAGTGAAAATTGACGGCCGACAATTGAAGCATCATTTCCTCGTTGATGGTGTCGTCCTTATAACACTAAGCATCAGGCAGGCGGAACAAATGTTGACCGATTTCGACGACGATTGTGGAAAGATTTGTCTTCGACAAATCCAACAGCAACGATGTTCATTAGAAACGGATGGGTTTTGAATGCCCCATTCACGCTCAACGGAACGAACATCTCCGAATGCTCCAGTTACATTATCTAGGTCATGTAATCAACATGATGAACAATTAGCTCCAGAGTTGTGGAGGAGGAAACGAGATACTTGGGAAGGTTTAAGAGCATCAAGGTAGCTGAGGGAAAAAACGAATAACATCCGACTCCGTGCTCACCTTTTTGACTCGACGATCATCTCTGCTCTGACGCTACGTAAGCAGGATGAAAGATCACTTGGCGTTATTGAGCACGCAGTCGAAATGTCGATGCTAGGAGTATGCCGTACCTCGCAAATGAGAGAAAGGATTCAAAGCTCCGACCGACGTTAACGACCGAAGATCAAAGACGCCTACGCGCCAGGATATCCAAAATAAGGTGGGTGGACACGTGATGCCCTTCAACGACAACCGATAAGCGAAAGGCGAAACCGACTGCTTCCTCGGGACGCTTTAGAGAAAAGCCACCGACCTGAATGGCATGTCTTCCCTTGAAAATCTGAACTAAGATAACTAAGATATAACCAAGATAACTAAGATAACTGAAAACTAAGATATGACGTTCAGCGATTTCCTAGGGTGAGGAAGACCCACTGGGCTACTCTTGTACCCGATAGGGAAAAATGGAAGTTACAATATACTCAATAGTGTAGAGCGCTGTGCAAAACGTTTGCGTCATCCGGGATTCGAAACCAGATCTCACTCTTTCCGGGTGCGTATGCTATCCGTTGCACCAGTGACACTGAAAGACGGAAGTGTTGCTGGTGCTCTGTCTATTCTGTCATCGATCAACAGGAAGACAGGTGATACATCCGAAGTACAGAAAATTAGAGGAGTGAAGAAAGTCGACTTTATCTCAGGTTTTCTTTACACGAGTTCTTTGGATTTCAAGACATCCACTACACAGACCATTCGCTCATGAGAATGATAATTCAGCACGCCTTTCAAATCACTGAATGAGAATTCAGAGCATTTGATTTCTTCACAAAGATTTCGAAAGATTACCAGGATCACGTTTTTTTTTGCCTTCAAATAGATTTTTCAAAAAGCGGCTACATGGTCCTCTGTCGACTCTGTAAAATGCTCTTTGTTGCTGAAATTCGATAAGATGCTATTCTAATATATCTACTCATCTTGTGTAAAAGTGAAAGCACGTTCCATTCACCTTCTTACGTTCAAAGAAATAGGTGAAATTGCTTGACATTCAAAGCATACATTCATACTCGTTAACTCGGAATTCAAGTACTCAGGTTAAACTCAAATGATACACAAATGATGGCCGGCTTAAGTATGTCTGGTTGAAAAAAATCGATGTTTTCATCGAACTGCTACCGAATCTTCTGGATCGTCAACCATCGCGAAAACGTATTTCTACATACAGCTCTTATTATCACGATGACAGAAATTACGAGACCCTGAATTTTGCTATACTGTACGTGGTCTGTGTTAAGGTGTTGGGCGAAAACATTTCTAAAGCCTCATGTAAGGTCTATATAATCTATTCTAGATAGAGATCTATATCTTTCGACCTACTGAAAGAAACAGGTAGATAAGAAGCATCCTAAGCTAATCAAGACAAGCATTATTCATTGTGGCAACTCTGTATTCAGAATTTCCCCTTCGGTCTAAAGACTATCGTAGTGAGGGCCAGATTATTATAAAGTGACTGAAAGCATCACCGTCAACAGAAGTTATTCTCTTCACAAGTTTGCCTTACATTTTTTTCAATTCTGAAAGGTGGTTCTATCGGATGGGATTTACATCTCATAGAAAGTGAGAAAGCAGTAATGAGCAACTGAAGCAAGGACAACAGGGCAATTCCAACATACTATAACAATGAGAGGTATATGTACTTAGCGCGTGGTATTTTAGAACCATTTCGACAAATGAGATAGCAAATACTAAGATTTAAGTTAAGAGTCTTTGTTTTAACGGATTATTTAACTGATGCAGTTTTGGCTCAGTTCCTTTAGTGGGAGATTTAATGTTTTCAGAAAGAGGTGACGGTCTTGTGCTGAAATTCTCACTCAGCATTTGCTGCACGTGTCACGACAATCTTCAAAGTGCTGATGAAATTGAAATCGAACTTAGATGGGACTGTTGGGTAACATACCTTCTTACACACAACTAGGAAGGAAACCTAAACTTGGTGTTTACGGCTCACTCTTGTATTATGGATGGATCACGTATGGAAAACTACTCCTCTAAGGATGGCATACTCAAATGGCAAATGTTTTACACTGATTGTTCATGAAGTAATATGGCATCTCATTGAGTTCTCTTATCGGTAAAAAGATTATTCAAGGTGGCACTAATGAAGACGTCTTGATTTTATAGATCAGTCATTGAGCCAATTATTTTCAAGAAAAATGTTACACCCTAAGAGAAGTTGGTACTCCAGGAACATACACACGTGTTTTGGACGTATCGCCCTCCTCGTCAATGACCCACGCCCCACATTGAGCCCTGCATTCTAGCAAGGAGGGAGGCTTATGCGGTGACGGCACAGAGTACAATGACAAAATTAATTCTTTTTTGAAATTATCTAGAGTGTTCATTGCGAGGTTTCAAAAACATTCGATGTATGGAATCAATTATTTAAACATAGTAAGCTATGAGGCAACTTACCATCGTGGAAACAAAAGGGATACACTTATCATGTTGACAACCAACTTTTATACGGAATCCAGGAATTTTTATTAAATATTCCTATGGCTCTGATAAGAAAAAGACAGAGAGAAGTTTCAACACATTTCTTATCTTTAGCAGGCGCAAGACACAGGAATCTACACAAGGATAGCATGTTCTTATTTGCCGACTCATTTACAACTATGCTCTTAGAGTAAAATGAAATTCTTAGCAACTTGTCAAATTCCACATTCACTGAGAGTCTTGTCGGGAATGGATAAAAAGTGGAGTTCCACTTCCGAAGTGAAAGCCATGAACAGCTTAGTAATTTCAAATAAAAAGATTTGCAAATATCATGAACGTGATCATCACGTGATGGAAATAGTTATAGTCAGTGAAGGTTAATCAATGTGAATGGTTCGGAGAAAGCTCCTAGTCATTGATTTAATTTATTAGTTTAGCACCCCAGAATTGCTGCTGCACATATTCTTTGTAGATAGTTTGAGTTTGCTTATAAAGCTCTAAAATTTCTGGCTATGCCAGAAATCGCTTTCGAGTGACAGGCAAAGATTCTCGACATCAAGCGTGAAATGCTCCAAATATATGAGTCCCGAGCACTTGCAATGAACAACTGTCTCCAATGTGTTCATCGCAGTTGACTTATATGTACAAAAACACGCTGAAGAAAGTAACGAGTCGGTGTTGTTTACAAGCGAAAAGCCTGTATGGCTTTAGGCAGACAAATCGCCTCTACAAACGTTCACTAGAGAGCAGATGAAGCCTAGAGAATCATATAAACCTCGTTTAATATCTATAACACTCGACGGTCTACCAGTTTCAATTGATTGTATGCCCGATATTTTTCTACCTAACAGTTTGATGTACTTGGTTGACTTACACTCTGTAAGTAACATATCTCATATAACCCAAGTAACACACTCGTCGTCTACGATGACGAAGGTGACTTTATCTAAATTACTTCTGAGAAAGATTCTATCTTTCTTCTATCACAAATCAAACTTTGTTGCGCATCGATAGCTTTCTGATGAAAAAAGATTTCTTATTTCAAAATTTCTTCCAATGCATGGTTGAATATCAGCTCCTGCTATCTATAGAGTCTGCAGCACAGCACTATTGCGACTTGATTAGACGGCTTATGGAGAGAGATCATCATTGCTATGACGTCACTATGTGGTGATATGGAAGCAAACATTTATTGCCGCCTTAAAGAGATGCTTACACAGTATTTCCACGTTACAGTGACGACCTGAGCTTTACTTGTAAATAGAAAAACATAACAGGACGTCGATCTGCAACATTGTTCAGGCAAGACTGGAGCTGTTGATATCTGCATGTTACTTGATCTAGTTGACATCGTACCAGCTCCTTCAAATTTTGCAGGGAACGATATGGACGATAAAATTTCAAGAATGGGACATCATGGATAGGCCGATGTTTTCTTTGAGCGCATACGTTTTTGCTATAAATATCGTCCATTCGAGGATGGTTGATGTAATAACGGCCTTGCTGTAACCTCAAAAAGCCAAACTGACTCCTGATTAACTCAGCCAAATACTTTCGTAACCTCAAAAAGAAAACTTAATGCACGAGTGCTAATCACATTACGAGCAACTTTTTCCAAAAACTTAGCATTTTTTTATCTCTACCTGTTCCAGTTATTGTTGGAGTCAACTGCACAGATATTTGGATATCCAAGGAATGCTCCTTTCTCATTTCAAAAAATGAGTTTCAGGGAGAGCGCGAGGATATGCGTGTTTGAAAGTCACATCCTTCTGCGGTCCATTTTTTGATTTCTGAATTATATCCAAAACGATCTCACAGTCTAACGAACTAATGTTCTGGATTTGTGTTGGAATACTGATTTTTCTTCGGACGAACGCTGAAGCTGCAGCACTTTTGAATGCAGCACCTTATTTCGTTAGATCAATAATGATTTCTCCACATCTTGGAAAATTCCCACCGTTAATCTTTTTTATGTATGCTAGAAAATCCTCTGTATACATTGCCATTATTTAATGCATGTACAGATCTTGTTAGTGTCGAAGAAGCACTTGTCCATTGTCTAACCACGTCACCGTTTGCATTCTGTGAAATGTGATGAGCAGTTCAATAATATTGTGTTAATGATCAATTAAAACTGACATATTCTCGCTCTTAAAATATCCAAAAGTCGTTGTCAGGTTAACTAAGGAAGCGTCGAATTATGTGAAAAATTATGCTAATCACTTACTTATGCGGTGATATTTCTACAATCAAACAAAATCCCTGTTATTTAATCACTTCTTGCAGGGTATGAACTTTCAAATATACCTTTCGATGTGGAGTGATGTG